AGGGAGTGCAATAATATAATGTTGGTGGCCCATTAATATTATTTAATTAATTAGAGGAGTGGGTTTGGCCCACAGTTAGTCTAATTAATTAAGGAGCCCTTTTCCTAATCTCCTTAGGGTCCCTACTGTAGCTCTATATATACATCATTAAGCTCATGAGAAGAGAATCCCAATCCTATTGACACGTGAATAACGCCGCCCATCTCTCTCTCTCTAGATCTCATTCGAGCTTTATCTTCTTCTTGTTGCTCCACTGGTACAAGTTGAAGAAGGGTGTATTGAGTAATACAGTAGAAGATTTGTAGGTAAACCGAGACGAAATAGATTTTGACCTACAGAACTAACCGAAAGTCCGATTGAGACGTACAGTATACCCAGACGACCGTCTCGACGAGAGCTTTCCATCGCCGCCGACGTCGTCGGAATCCGACGCCGCACGCGCCCTCACGCGCCGCCGGAAGGTGTCTGGCAGCAAAATTTCGTTTTGATCAGTTTGCATCCGTTTGATCCAGTTTTGATCTGATCTTGTTCGTGCAATCCAAGACGCGTGTTGCGGTCAATCAATTGCGGTCAACCGTTCGTGGTCAACCAGATCTACATAAATTTTAAGCCGTAAGTTCTCTACGTCAAACCTTTAGATCCGCTGCGCATAGGTTTACGTTTCTATTGAATTCATGATTTGTACATAACGAGATCCTCACAGATCCTAACAGCTAGGTGGAGATGTCGGCCTGGCCAGAGCGATGGCTCAACGGCGGGCGAAATAATGAGGTCGGCCCGGCAGAGCAGGGGCTCGTCGGAGGGCTAGGTAGAGATGTCGGTCTGGCCGGAGCGATGACTCAACGGTGGGTGAAATACGGTGGGCGAAATAATGATGTCGGCTCGGCAGAGTAGGGGCTCATCGGCGGGCTAGGTAGAGATGTCGGCCTGGCTGGAGCTATGGCTCAACGGTGGGCGAAATAATGATGTCGGCCTGTCAATGAAGGCCGGATGATTGTTTCGGCTACAATTAGCTTGGTAGTCCGTGATCTGGTTGTGATTTCGAGCTTGGCCGTGATCACGTGGTTCGGCGTTTTTCAGGTCAGGTGATATGTTGGTCGATTTTGTACCGCTCGCAGATTTCGACACACCGAGTGGAGACATGTTTGTCTCAATTGTGGTCGTTCACCTTTAGTTCGGCCCGCGGGTGGTTGTCGGTTCGGCGGATTGATCTGACACCGGAGTGGTTGGTCCGCATTATGATGTGGGGATCCGTCGATAAATAGTTGTTGCGACTTTGGCCTTTTCGCTCTTTCTTTCTTTCTTTCTTTCTTTTTATTTTTTTACTATATACGTGTACATATTTATTTTTATGTATATATATATATATATATATATATATATATATACTAGTATGAATCCCGTGCGGTGCACGGGTAAGAGATATTAATTAATATTTATAAATTAAATATGCTCATTATATAATATTTATAAAGTTAAAATATGAAATATACATGTAATGCATTTTACCTATAAAATTTAAATTGTGCAAATTTACATAAAACATGTCTAGTTAAAAAAATAATGAAGTAAAAAAAACAATGGAAAAATGAATTCAAAATAAGTTATTTATTCTTATCTCCTCATCATGAAAGAAAATTTTCAAGTAGTTTTTGTATTCAACAACAAATTTATTTTCAATTATTCACAACTTCATATGTAGTTTCTTAGTTCTAGTGACTTTGTTGATCAAACCAAATTCGCACTTCATCTTGAATTAAATAAAAAGATAAAATCAATACTTACAATATTAAAAATGAAATCAAATGAAGGATAACAACAAATGATCGAAAAATGACTGAATTTATAAAGGAAAAACAAAGTATAATTTAGTTAAATTCCATAAATATTTTTGATATGAAAAGTATAAAGAAATTGCAATAAATCAATTTAAAAATTGTACAAATTCTTTAATACACGATTTTTGTAATGTAAAACGTTTACTTTATTTAATACATTAAATTTTACTTTGTTTGACAATTATATTTTTAGTTAATTGTTAATCAAATTCTCATTTAATTTAAATGCGGTATAATTTTTTTGATTGGATGAAATTCAATTTAAAAATATTTTACTGTTGATCAGTTGGGATGTTACTAAATCCTATTAGTATATTACTTGTTGATCAATTACTGTATGAGATGGACTGATTGTTATGGTATGATTGGGTATCTCAATTTTTTTTTTTCCGTTGTAGTTGTTAAGTTGTGTGAATAGTATTGTGTAATTTAATTAGATTGATCGATTTAATAAATATATATACCAAATAATTTGGTATATATATTTATAAAGAAGTATCGACCTTCTCCAGATTTTTCTTTCATTAATATCGAGTAAAATGCTTAGCAATATGGAAAAAAAAATATTGAGATACTATTTCTTACCATAAACCGGTATATTGGATCAATATATAGTATACTAAATAATTATATTTTATACTTTATCAATAAAATACAAAAAATGATAATTACTTTTACCACAAATTAATTGCCCAACGTAGAAAACAAAATCGAGACCCACATTTTTCATAGATAAAAATAAAAAAGACCCAAAAAATAATTATTAAAAAATAATTGAAAGAAAATTGCAATTAACACAATTATCTTGGAACAATTTTATAAAAATTTATAATTGAATAAATCAACAAAATCTATACGACCTGTGTAATTAGGATATCTTAAAAATGTAAATTTTATATTATTTTATTAATTATCCACAAGTTGAATAATTAAATACACAAAAAATGAATAACATTTATTAAGTAAATTAACAATTTTTTTTTTTTGCAAATCGCATAATTGATTATTGTTGTCAATATTTTCATAATTATAGTAATTATTTGCAAAATGAATAAATCAGTCGGATTTACACAATTTGCGTAATTATTCTATATTAAAAATACATTTCATATGGTAACAGAAAAAAAAAATACATTTCATAAAAGAATTACACGAAAAATATAAAACACTTATTAAATAATAAGTTACACAATTTAGTTGGACTTTTTTAGCAAATCACATAATTAATATTGCATCCGAAATTGACATATTTGGGTAAATCATCCGAAGTCACATGATTTGAGTAATTATCTTAAAAATAAAACTTTTTATATGTTAATTATTTCTTTAAATAATGAGACGCGATTTTTATAAGTGATTATTTGAAATATACTATAAACTGTTAAATTAATTATTCGAAATAGTAAATAGATTTTTTTTTGGTGGAAAATATTTACTATTTAAAAAATAATCAAACTTTTATATAATAATAATAACAATAATAATAATAATAATAATAATAATAATAAATATTTAATGTACATTAAACTTGAACTACAATGAAGAGATTATTTGGAACATAAGATAAAGATTAAATATATCCAAAAAAATCTGCAGGCAATCCTTTATTTAAACGTTTTAATTTAAATTTTTGACTGAAAATTTCAAATTATGCTTGGGCGGGATTTCTAATTTTTTTTAAAAAAGTTACTATGTTTAGTAAATTTTTAGGCGGGAATTCTAATCATTTTTTAGCTACTATTTTAGGATTTATTGGGTTACCTCTTTATATAATAATAGATATATGTATTTATGTATGTATTTATAATGAAATTGAGAGTAGGATTACCTTTGGCCGGTGCAGGGTGTAGGTCTGGGCATATTACCGTCTCGAGAGGTCGATTTTTCTTTTGCTCCGATCCCTACCAAGCTCCTCGACTTCGCAATTTTTGTTGCTTGTCTCGATTTAATTCTATTTATTCTATCTATTACAATATTTTTAAGACCCTTACTTTTACATTCTCTATAAATAAATTTATAGGCCGTGCATTCACTATCTGGGCCCAGTGCCTTCACTCCCTTTAAATAATTTTATAAGCCACATATTCATCAAATAGGCCCAAATTGATCTTATACCACTAGGCCCAAATTATTCTCAATCCCTAGAAAAGTACAAAAGAAGTCTCGCTCTTTCCCTACTTGTACTCACAGCGGCAGATGACCCATTCCAGATCGGCAGTGGTTTGAAAGACGGGTCACCGGAAATAATTATCGGCGATGGAGTGAGCGGGTTCGGCCGCCATCTGTGGTTTGACCGGGTTTGTTGCTTGTCCGCGGAATACGAGGTCGGTCCTCATGAGTTCGCCGCTTGTCCGCGGTGTTTCGAGCAGGTGGGTAGAGTTGCTCGAACCGGCTGAGGTCGGTCATCATTGATTAAGACACAGGTTGTTGTGAGGTCAGTTGGCATGGATTTAGGCCATTCGACTGTTCGGCCCGGCTATGGTAGGGAGATCCGAGCGGGCCGTATGTGATGTAAAATCCGTGTTCGGCCCACGTATGGTGGTCGGTTCGACCCGCGGAGGCGGATGGACCTGTTCGGTCCCGGCGGATGATTCTGTTCGGTCGGCGGATGGTTCTGTTCGGTCGGCGGATGGTTCTGTTCGGTCGGCTGATGGCTCTGTTCGAGCCACGGACTGTTGTTGGTCCGGCCCTCGAACGGTGGTGGAGTTGGACCGGTGGATGGTTGTCAGTTCGGCAATGGAGATTCGGCCCGGATGCAGCATCTTGGATTTGGTAATGGAGGTTATGGCCCGAACGGATGTGCTTTTGAAGGCTCTGATTCTAATTACACACATATATATATCTATATATCTATATGCTGTTGTAAGTCCCCCTCCCCATTTTTGTGAAAACATAAATGATATCCTACGGAGGATCCATGTGATTTCAATGATTTTGGTTCCAATTTGCTAACGATTTATTTTGTTTTGCTGAAGTGAATTCGTTGGAGTGTTGTTTT